TCGCAGGGAGCTGTCCTGCGTGCTATAAATTTTGGCAAATTCTTACATGCTAACAACATTAAAAACATCACAGTAGATGGGGTAAAGAGGGTAGGCCGTAATCGCGTATCAATTCAATTTAAGTCAGCAGCTGATGCTAATTCTTTCATGAGCCATCCAGCAGTGAATGATAACAATTATTTAGTAAACATTCCTTCATTTAATGTCACTCGTATGGGAATTATTCGAGAAGTGCCTGTTGAATGGTCTATGGAAGAATTAGTTAATAATATTCAAGTTCCTTCAGGGTTTGGAAAAGTTTTTCGAGCTAGGCGATTACACCGAAAATCCATAATAGGGGACTCTGCCCCTACTTGGATCCCAACCCAGACTGTTGTGGTAACTTTTACGGGAAAAAAACTACCTGACCATATTTATTGCTATTACACTTCTTTACCTGTAGAAATTTATAGACTGCCAGTAATCCAGTGTAATAGCTGCTGCAGATTTGGACATGTAAAATCACAATGTCGGTCCAGACCTCGCTGCTTTAAATGTGGTGATATGCATGATGGACAAAGCTGCTTGAGCCAGGCACCCCTCAAATGTATTTTATGTTCTGGCAATTATCATGCCACTCATAATTCCTGTCCTGAACACGAAAGACAAAAATCGATAAAATAGGTGATGTACCAAGAAAACCTGTCATATGCGGAAGCGTCAGCTAGATTCGCCTCTGTACGAAGGTCGTTTGCAGATGCCACCAGAACTAACTCACCGATTATAGTCTCACAGCACAATCCACTCAATAGGCCTTCTACTACTTCATACCGTAAAACTGTTGTAACTCCTCGTCATAGCCCCTGCCCTGCTTCCAGTCCAGGCTATGGTAGACATACACACAATAATATAATTCGTTCCCCCTCCTCATCCCAGCCAAATGGATATGCTATTGAAAATAATCTCTCGGCTAATAATACACCAAATGATAACTTAATTGAAATGTTATTTTTACAATTGTCAACACTTATTAATTTCATCCAAAGATTCAATGATATAGAGTTACCGTACAATATTAGACAAAAATTTACTGAGCTATCATCTTACAACGCTAACATTCACCCCACTACTCCAGTGGAACTGCAGGAGTATTAAATACAAAAAATCAGATATAATACATCTCATAAACTGCCATAAGCCAGTAATTCTTGCCATCCAGGAGACATGGCTTGGGCCTGGAGTCCGATATAGAATTTCAGGCTATGCTTCTCTCCGGGATGACAGGAGTGATAGCAAAGGTGGATCAGCATTGTTTATTCTAAGAAATTATCCTTTTGATCCTATAGTTCTCCCTCCACATAATAATGATAATTTTAATATAGTGGCTGTTCGAGCCATGAACATTTCTTTTGTTTCGCTGTACATCCCACATCCTAGTTTAACCATACTGTTACAAATATTGTCTATTATTAAGAACATTGAAAAACCATGGATAATCATGGGTGATTTTAATATTCATAATGAAGCATGGGGTTGCCATACTTCCGACCCACTTTCATCTACATTTTTAGATATAATTGATGACCTTAATTTATGTATTTTAAACGATGGCACGGCAACTCGACGGGTAGCGCCATGTCAAAACCCTAAAAGTGCTGTTGATCTAACTTTATGCTCGGCTAGCCTTACTGCGGGACTTAACTGGCAAGTTTTGCCTCATTCTTACGGAAGTGATCACTTTCCTATCCTATTATCATTACCTAACCCTAGAAGGGAACCCCCAAAATACAACAATAGACAAAAATTCCTACTATCCCAGGCTGACTGGACAAAGTACGGTTCTATCTCAGATGACAAAGTAAAAGGACTTTCACTGACTCTGAACCCAGTTAATATTAATTCCGACTACCAGCTATTCAAAAATGATCTTTTATCTGCTGCAGAAGAGTGTATTCCACTACGCAATCTCCCCTCCTCTAGCCGCATTTCTTCACCACCGTGGTGGGACAAGGAATGTATCATGGCTTGCAAAAATCGAAAGAAGGCAGAAGCAACCTACTCCTCTGCAATGAATTCAGAGAACTACCTAAATTATAAAAAAATTGCTGCAAAAACGGTCCAACTACTAAAATTTAAGAAGAAAGAAGGCTGGTCCAAGTTTTGTTAATTTGATCAACACAATCTTTATCAGTGGTGCTCCACCCGACGAATGGAAGACGCAGATAATTATTCCCATATTAAAGGGAGGCAAACCTGGCAACGACCCATCCAGTTACCGCCCTATCGCTCTCTCGAACACAATGTTTAAAATTTTAGAACACCTCATCAAGAACAGATTGGAATGGTTTTTGGAGAACAATAACAGGCTAGCAGAAACGCAATTCGGTTTTCGTAAAGGATCAAGCACAATGGACAGTCTGAGTACTTTTGTGACTGATATCCGTATTGCTCTTTCAAAACGAAAATCAGTTGTAGGCGTGTTTCTCGATGTAGCAGCCGCCTACGATAACGTTCTTCTCCCGGTGCTCAGGCAGAAAATGCTCCAGCTGAACATCCCTGAGAGGATCATAAACTTTGTTTTTAATAGCCTAACCAATAGAGCGATTCTCATAAACTCCCAAAATTCTACTCTACCAGCCAGAAGTGTTTGGAAAGGTCTCCCCCAGGGGTCGGTGCTCAGCCCTTTGCTATATAGTATTTACACATATGATCTAGACCTGACGGTTAAGTCATTCTGTAATATACTTCAATATGCAGATGACCTTGCCTTGTACTTAGAGGTTGATAAAATTCAAGATGCTAGTAGTAAACTTAATGATGCTATTTATTATCTTAACAACTGGCTTTCTGATCATGGATTGTCTCTTTCTATTCCCAAAAGTAGTGTAGTTTGTTTCACAAGATCAAGAAGTATCCCCGATATAGATATCTCCTGCAATGGACAGAACTTTCCAATTAAAGATAAAGTAAAATTTCTGGGAATGATATTAGACTCTAAGATAACAGGTGTCCATCATATTAATTATACTATCCAAAAATGTGAAAAAAACTTGAATATTCTAAGAGCTCTTTCCGGAGTTTGGTGGGGTGCCCACCCAGTTACACAGAGGTTATTATATAATTCCCTTATCCGGAGCTTATTGGACTATGGCAGCTTTCTTTTACTTCCCTGTAGTAAAATTGCATTGAAATCCCTAGAAAAATCAAAATGTCTACGAATCATTCTTGGAGCCATGAAGTCCTCCCCCATAAATGCAATGCAGGTTGAGTGTGTTGAACCCCCCTTACAATTTCGCCGACAATATCTGTCGGATAAATTTCTCTTCAAAATCTACCAACGTATGTCACATCCTCTAATTCCAAAACTTCATCTACTACACCAACTGGCCCCTACCAATGAATACTGGTCCCATAAAGACCTGCCTTGTCTGCTGATTAGCTACAGAAAACTAATAAACCTCCCATCTCCTGTGTTCCAATGTAGACTGAACCCTCTATTTGAAACCCCTTATCAAGCTCTAATTTATGAACCAGAAGTAATTTTAAATTTGGGCATAGAAAACCATTCATTAGATGCACAAGTTAGGTTGAACCAGATAATCTCTGAGAAATGGGCCGACTGGCTTACAATATATACAGATGCATCAAAATTATCTGGAGAAAGTCATGTTGGATCTGCAGTCTGGATCCCTAAATATAATATAATTTTAAACTTCAAATGTCCTCCTGTTTGCTCAATCTTCACAGGTGAGGACATTGCCATATTAGAAGCTCTTAAATTTGCTGAATCCCATAAACTTAATAAAGTAGTATTGTTCTCTGACTCAAAGAGCTGTTTACAAGCTATCCGTTCTAATCAATTTAAATGTAGATTTAAATATCAATTCATTTTAAAAATCAAGACTCTTCTATTAGATTGTCATCGGCAAGGGTAGCCCTTGCTGCCCTTGATTTATAACTTGAAAACGGTAAGTAATACAAAAAAAATGTTTTTACAAAAGTTGTTGGTAATTATGTACGAAACAACTTTGCCATTTGAAGTTTTCCATTAAAATGATATTTTCAGGGTGAAAAAGTGAAAAAACACTTTTTTGAGACTTTAGCGCCACCTACAATGCGCATTTTTTGTTGTACGAGATTGCAACAATGACATAAATTGTAGCACTCAACACCCTCTACAATTATGGCCAAAAAAAGTTTCTAAAATGCATACAAAACAAGAAAAATGCGTTTCAAAAAATTTTTGAGGGTTTTTTTAAGTTTTTCAAAAAACGCCTACGAGTTGAACATGCCCATCGCCAAGGTGGCTTACTGACGTCATTTGGCAACAGAAAAAACAAGACTTACCCTTTAGGTTTTTTTTTCACTGAAACGATATTTTTTTCGACAGATTGACTGTACTATTTGTATTCATTCCGAAGTCGCTGTTAACCATAAAACCGCGGCGCTGGAATAAAATAGAATTAATTTATTTATAAACATAGGTACCATAGTGATGTTACAATATAAGCATTAGTCCTTATCGGTAAACGTAAACGCAAAATAGTACGAAAACGCAAATCGATGCATTCCAGAAAAGTCTAGTTCAATTGAGAGTTTACTAGCACCGGTGAATATGTACTTTGCCCGCATGAGTTGTAAACAAGTAGGCAGATGCCATCGCACTTTCACCCTTACAGCGCACTGAATAAGGCTCATATTAGAATAGACCTCACTACTATGCCTTCATCGAAGTCGTTCACATCGCGACCGCGGCTTTCTGAATAAATCTATTTCCAGTATGTTCTTGGTTTTGGTTAGAGATCATTTGTGACAATATGCACACAGAGAAGTGAATACTTATATATCCGATTTTGACCTATCAATTTACCCACTTTGTTGGAGTGTTTTTTTATGCTTCAAAATTTAGCAGCTCATCATTAAATAATATTTGCCTGTGTTCAAACTGTATGATCGAATAAAGCTTAAATCTGTTTAATTCCCCATCATGCATATTGATAATTTACTATTTCAATTTACAGAAAACAAAATTTATGAGAGGGATAAAAAACTACAGGAAAGTGTAGATTCATATAATATCCCTTCACCGGCCTTTTCCATCGATAATTCAGAAATTTGGGGTTGTTCTACATGTAGCACAGCATTTGAAAATTTGGTATGTATTTATAAAACAAATACAAAAATGTTATTAAATGTCACTTATGTTTTCGAAATTCTGCTTACTTTCAATCAATCACCGTATCTGCGTCGGCGGCGTCTATCGGCCGAACCGGTGGATTTTAAATGTAGTTCAGATTTTTGTAAAGAATTGTTAACCATTTCTTACTTTTCTGTAGTTTTGTTTTTATGAAGTGGTTCTTAATTTTCCCTTACATTACATACAGGTTTTTCGATATCGGAATCTCTGAACGCGAGATCCGATATTGAGTGATCTAACACAGTAATATCGGAATCATGAAAATTTTCTTCTGTGCTATCAAATGCATGCCATTAGGAAGTGTCTAGTCAAAATAATAAAATAGTACCAATAGTCTTAATGCCATTTTATGATAAGATCTCTATCTGACGTATATTTTACGCTGCGTCAGGTAAAACGCGATCGCCACTCTAGAACCTATCTGCCCCAATGACCGTCAGTTCTCCAAACGTTCGTTTTCTATGGGTCTCCTAATTTTAATGCCATCCCGCAGGCAGAGACACCGCATTTGCCTGATTTCGGTTTGAAAATAAGAAGTATTTTTATAAATCAAATCGTAATTCGCAAACGACTACAACTCAATGCTAATCATTAGGTACTACAGTCCCTAATGATTAGTATTAGTATCATTACTACATTACCTAATGATTAGTACAGTAAACATACACTGATCAATAAATCTGGAGGTCTTGAGATACTTAGTTAATCAACGAGAGGTGTTTTGTAGTTTACCATATGCTGCCCAAACAAGTAGAATTCGGGATATGGTTCTTTCTGAAAGTTCACTCTACCTAACTGGACTGTCTGCTCTAGGCGTATAACCGATTACACTAGAAACTTTAACCTTCAGAGGAATGGGTATGACGCCGAAGGTTGATATGTGTCTTACACATATTAATTTTAATACCAACTGCTTAAGAGACTGTTAAGGTCTTCGAATATTGCGCCGAGGTCTTCCAACGTCTTAGACGATGTTAACACAACACGAGTAAGATATTTACAACTGATGCTGATTCCTAGACCATCTTAGGCCAGAAGTATCAAGGCTTCTCCAAAAGCTGTATATAATATCTCTCTGTATTAGAAAATCAACATGGTATCGTTGGACACATATTAGCACAGTCTGAATTTTGATCGAATTTATCCACTATGGTTAACAAAAGCGGCTGGTTGTACTCTTTCGTCTGCTGTATAACCTGGCGCCTATGCATGCTGCCTTTGGTGTTGACATCTTTTCAGATAACCTTCAAGAGAGACGATTTATAATAATCCTGGCACAAATTGACCGGTCTGTAATACATATAATAATAATCGCCCGCCCCCAAGGACCATCGGTTCTCCTCGATATGTGCCCTGCCCCTAAGCCCATCGGTGCTCCTCGCTTTGTGTCCCGACCATGCCACACTGCAGAGCATCTTTCTAGCGATATCTGTTATTTTAGTTCTGCGGATTTGCTCTTTTTCGATTCTATCAGGGCAATGCCGAGCATCGCTCTCTCCATTGCCCGGTGTGCGACCTTATTTAATCTAAGTGTGCGATCTTGAACTTCTTATGAGACCCATAGTAAACGACCATATTTCACTTCCGTAGATTAGATATCTATTTAATAATGTATTTCTTTTGACTTGTAGTTATTGTTTACTTTTTTTAAGTAACTAAAAAATAGCAGCTTAATTATTTTTCCTATATTTTTCAGACCCAATTGAATTAAGTATTTTGTGTATCAAATATTGTTATTTTAACAAGGGCTTATGATATTCAGATCTCTGTTTTTGTAACAGGAAACATACAATACCCATCTAACGGCATGTTCCTCTCAAGCTAATAAAGATTCGAAAGCTACTGATGAAGTTAAAGTAAAGAGGAAATTCCTTTGTGACATCTGTGGGAAAACTTCACATTCAAATGCAAGTCTTCAAATCCATATGTAAGGTTTTATCCACTTACTTACCTACTGACCACTGCAATCATCTTTTTTATTTTATTTATGTATTTGATATATTTATTAAAGGAGTACTCATGAAAATGTATTTCCATTCAAATGTGAGGTGTGTCCATACCAAGGACGAACACTGGACTTGCTGAGAGTGCATAAAAGGTCTCATATGGTTGACAAGCCTTTCAAATGCAGTCAATGTCCGAAATCCACAACTACGGCTAGTAATCTCGCAAAACATATGAGACATGTGCATAGCAATACACGGCCATATAAAGTAAGTGTCAGTAATAGAAGTTATAATAATACTATAAATTATAAAAAGAAGTTTGTTTTTTTTAGTGCATATGGTATTTGGTATGCATTTCAGACTTCATATGAGATTTTATTTTTAGTGTACATACTGTGACAAAGCATTCTCATACCAACATGATATGAAAAGGCACATCAAAGATATACACCTGCGACAGGGAACGGTAGAATGTGACCTCTGCTTTAAGAAGTTTAACACAAAGTAAGTATGAAAATCACGTAATTAACCCTATATCCTTTTGTGTGGCAGCTTTTTATACAAAAAATATTATTGGTGATCTTAAATATCGGTGCCCGCGGCTTCGTGTGCGTGGAAAAAATGGTTTCCCATACAAACTTCCACCCTCTTTCACACCCTTAATGGATGATTTCTTGGATAAAAAAAAACTATCTTATGTCCGTCTTCAATACTTTAAACTATCTTTATAACGAATTTCATCTAAATCTGTTTAAGCATGAGGACGTAACAGACATTCAGACAGACATACTTCGCATTTGTAATATTATGAATATAAAAAAATAAGGGACAATGGGCAAAAAACACCCAACTCCGCTAACAATGTAATTAGTATGAATCGAAAACACTTTGTATTTTTTTTTTTATTATAACACCGTAAAAAATATTTGTAAAGGAAAGATATGGGCTATTAAGGTAGCTAAATAAATTCATTTACTAGTATCTTTATTTTATATTATTATTAACCATAATAATCTGCTACGATTATCGGTTTTGTGAATTGTTATGGATCTGGAACTGAACTTAACTGGAATCATGTTTTCTCCGCGGCGTGGACGAGTTTGTGTGATTTGTGGTCGCTCCGTTTTACGTAGAAGACAATTTATATAAATATCAGAAGATCATTGTATAGAAGGCGGGGATTTTTGGATTTACTCTAGCGCGCCAGAATAACATAGCGAAGCAGCTACAAGTACGATCCGTGGCTCTTGACCGCGGTCGGAATCGCCGTACTTAGTATCTTCGCCGCGCCTAGGCGCCTCTCCCGGTGTGCGCTGCGCCTAAAACAGTAATTTAAATCGCTTTCCGACAGGAATCGAATTTCTTATTTTATTTGAATTAATTGCATTACATTAATGCTACTTGTCAATACCTAGTCGAATATTTTCCCTACTATTCGGATTTCTTTCATTTTAGCCAATGCCTCTCCGTGGGCAGATTTTTTCGATTAGTGTGTTTATCAGTGCTGTTTAAACATGACTAGTAAGAGTAATAAATTATTACATATCTATGGATCTATTCTTTTATTCATGCTAGCTGGTGTAATCGATAAATAAAAATATAAAAGCCGGATAAATTATTCCTTTTGAAAATTTCCGTTGTATGCACTGCGTTATTGGGTAAAGTTATAAAAATAACCGGACAAGTGCGAGTCGGGCCTACTCTTCCATCGAGGCCTCCGTGCAAATTTGTAGCTAGGCAACGTAAACGGCCGTACCCTTCTTTTTACGTTAATTAGAAGTTTGATATTTTTTCACAGCTTCAAGGGATTGCAATCCTGAGTTTGTGGTTTAAATTTCAACTCGATACCTCCACGCGTTCCCGAGATAAAGCGTCTTGACAGACAGACAGACAGACCGACGGATTACTTTATTACGTAACTTGTTGAACTTCCATCAGCAGCAAAATTTGACCCAAACGTTCTAAGTACATTGCAAGTTTAATCCAATACGACAATAAGGTATTTGATATTTGTATTTTAATATTTTTAATTTGTTTTTCTTTGCAGAAAAATATTACAAGGTCATCGATCGAAAATTCACAACATCAAAGGTGAAAGGCAAGGGCGTCTCCCATCTTACTTGCAATGCCAAATAATAGATGAAACCATTGAAAATATTATCAATGATGATAATTCCACTTGAGTCTATAGTAGGGACTCTTGATCTATATCTTCTGATTCTGAGTTATAGAAAGAAGTGATGTATTATTATGAATAAACATATTTCTTTTTAAGCAATATTTTTTTTTAATTAATTAACATAGTTAAAATAGGTTTTTAATTTATATATTAATAGTGCAATTTATATCAATAATGAGCTTTGTATAACAAATAAAGTTATTTCGACCTGTATTGCTTTTGTTTTATTTACAACATAATATTCGTTGGGTAAACTGGATTTCTGTATTAAGTGCTAGAAGATATAGAGAATTGATAAATGGAGATCGAACATGTAATTATGTACTTTTATTGCTGCGGCATCATGCTTTTAGCTTTGACTTTCCTCGTTTAGGCTGTTTTTCTAAACAGAAATTAAATACTAAGTATCCCTTCAATGCAACTAGTGTGTACAAAATAGGCCCGAATAGAGGCACTTTGAATTTCAAATTTCACTTATTGCATTTAATAGTATGTATGTACCCACAGAACACAGAAAGATGTATAACCTAAATTCTATCGTTGGTGTACCTACTAAAGATTCCCAGAAAGGAAAGGTCATTTATCATTCCTTTAAACTCTTTTAATTTATATTTATCGTCCAAGTTAGTAGTTCCACTTTTTATAAACAATATCAGTAAAGTCAGTAATTAGTAATAAAAGTGCTGCGGTGATTCATAAAATAGTTTGATATTAATTACGATGTATTTGTGAGCCCTCCTGTGTTACCATTATTTTTGTACTTACTTAGAGTTGTGCTAGAATTAGAATTCCTACAGACAAATGACCTTAATTTTAAGTTATCTCACGCCAATAGAAAAAACGTATCGCCAATGACGTCATTAAACATTCCCTCTCGCACATACTGTCCCTCGGCATAAGAATTAAGTGCTGTCCTAATCCTAATTAAAAAATAATTGAAGATAACTAACTAACCATCTTAATATTATGATAATGATGTCGATTCTGGCATGATTCTCTAAACCTAAACTTAAATTTGACAACAGTGCATCCTTGTCCTTCTCTATACAGAATGAAAAGGTGAGACTGACCTTTAATTTAGTTTTAAGTTTAGAGATGCACGCCAGAATTGACACCAATATGATATTGAATTGTATTTGTACTTAGCACACCGGACAAATCCCTGCGATTTATGCCGTGCTTTTTAGCTTTGTAAATATTATTTTTTAAATAAAATAAATATAAATTATGTGCGAGAGAGACAATGTCGTGCGTTGGTATTTTCGAAATATTTCTTTAATGCCACGAGTTATTTAAATATGTTTCAGTTTAGTATAAGTGGGGCAGTCATACTCTCTTAAAAATATCGTCGGTAGTGCCATGTGAGGCGGGTCGTTACGTGTTTGTGCGTGAGCTCCGATAGACCACAGTGGAAAACGTATGTATCGTTAACTTAAAGGTTTAGAAGGGCTTTTAAAAAAAAATAAGCCAGAAGGAAATCTGTATCGTGTATCTGTTGTAAGTCGAAAACGCTACGACGACTCGCCGATGGTGGGCTCTCAGACGAAACGTCTCAATTTTCATTACTGTATCTGGCCAATTTCAATAATTTTGATGAAAGGTAATATTTAGAAGGTAATTTGCAGGACTACGTACAAAAAAGTTATGTTGAGTGACTACAAATAAAGAAAGTCCAATCTGTTGGTGGGTCCTCAGTTCTTACGTTTTCAAAAACTCAACTGGTAACAAATTTGTAGTAAAAGCTAATTTTTTTGGCAAGCTTTACAATTTAGTAGTAGTCAAAATTCTACCTTTTGAGTACAAGCTTAATATATTCGACAAGTACAGATTAAACGCTCAAAAATGAATTGATGAGAAATATCTCAGCCCGTCTCAATATAAATTGAAAACAGTTGATGTAATTTTAGCAGAAAATTTGTAGTATAAGATAGTATTCAAATATCATTGCTTTAAATAATATTAAAAGAAATATCCTGCTTTATTTCACTCTCATCATACACGTAATCATAACTAAGATTGAAATGTACCCACAGTAACATTTTTAGGACACTCGAATGGAAATATATGCTTCGCTTGAATGTTATTTAAATTGTGAAATATATTCTTAATAAACTATACTTACATAATTCCCACATTCGGTGAAACGGTACGACCGTTCGATATACAACAGTTAGAAATTCGGGCTTAATTTTTTTTAAATGTAGTTACTACTAAATCTTTATAAGTATATTTAAGGAACCTACGTTTTTCACTTTTACCGGAGAGCACCCACATCTTTACGTTCCCAAAAAATTTGGTCGAGCGAAGCGATCACAGAACACAGAAAGAGGTTAGAAGGGTGATAAGCGATCGCCAGTATGACAACCGATGTCGCCGGCTCGTCCCCACTACACTTCCACCTAATAGATAATAAGCCAATCAAACGACGCGACATGAAGCAACCGAACGAATCAGCGCTCACAGCCGTGACTGTGAGCGTTCATTCGTTCACACCGATTATAGCGTTTGTGGTTGACACCGAGTCGATGAATTATTATCGATATTAAATATGCCAAGTACGAGTTGGATTTGACTTGATTTTATGGAATTTTATTTATCCTGTCAAAGTCAGTAAAGATAAAGAAAATGATTTAATGTAAAACGCATTACTACAGATAGTTATTTATTGACCTTGAAATACTATATATTTATGAAAAAAAAGGGTCGCCCCTTTTTTCTTTTTTAAAGTTATTTTTCAAAAGAAATATAGACGTATATCTATATATTTTTCAATTACCACTTTAATTGAATCTGTTACGTGGTTAGATAATGGGAATTCACCGACTTGACGAAATGATATGTCATCAAATCATGAAGTGCCAATAAACTTCTTTTATATTTTTAGACTAAAATTTCTTTTACGAAATTTTTCAAATTATCTGCATGTTGTCGTATTACAGTTTCTGCACTTTTGCATATTTTTATAACATCACTACCGACGGATATATCAGGCCACCTTTATCTTTTAACGAAATAAATTTATGTTAAATAACTTGAATCTGATATTCCATAAAATTAGCAGAGACGTTAAATACATCATTATAAATAAAATGTCTAAAATCCCCTTCGATCCTACTTCTGCAAAAAAAAATTCAAGGTCAAACTTACAAAATTATGGGTTTTTCCATTTTTCTTGAAAACGGTAATTTTGGCGTAAAAGTAGGTCAGACAAAAGTTGTAGACCATACAATTCTCTACAAAAATGGTCTTGTCACTTTTTCTCTCACGAATGGTGAGTCGTTTATATTTATATATCGCGGTTTTCATAATTAGAAAATTCTTATTTTACATATTGAGTATCACTTAGTTTTGTACATAAAAAAACCATAATTTTATACGTTTTAGTTGATTTTTTTTGCAGAAGTAGGATCGAAGGGGATTTTTGACATTTTATTTATAATGATGTATTTAACGTCTGCCAATTTTCAGCTCTATGCGAATTAGTCCTAAGTCAAATGTCTATTTTGACTGAACTATAAACAAACTCTTCAGCTTTATATTTATATTGTACTAGCTATGCCCTGCGGTTTATTAGGGATATTCTCCCGCAGTAAAACGTAGCCCATGTGTTAATCCAGGGTGTCAGCTAACTCAATAGCAAATTTTATTAAAATCGCTCCAGCCGTTTAGACGTGAAGAAGTAACAAACATACACACACACAAACGCCTTTATAATATTAAGTATGATAAACATTTACAATCAGATTTTATTTATTTCTAAAAGTTACTTTAATTCCATTATTAGGTGCAAAAATTCAGTCGATAAAATCTATCGAAAATGTAAAATGTACGACGCAAGACACCACTAAAGTAGGTGCAATGACCTTGTACTGCGTGCGGCCACGTGCAGCGCTCCGTGATCCACGCGTCATTCTTGCTTGATCGTACTACATTTCGTGTTTTGAATGTCGTAGAAAAAATAGCGAGCGTACTTTGTCAGCAATGAATATTTTTGTGGAAATATATATGTGATTTATCGTTTAATTAATATTTCTCGATTTTTTGCTATAATATCAGTCTAACTAAGAAGTTTTATACTTACCGATGAAAAGAAATTCCTGCTTTAGGTAGATTTGATGATTGACTCCTTACTTTGCAAGTAATTACAGCACACGAAGGCATGTTTTAAGCGGTAATTAAAATACTCTCTCACTGAGCGTTCGCGAGCAACTAAACGACGCGATCGGACGTTACGGTCAAGTTATGAGCATTTGCTCATAACTGTGACGCGCCTGCCCCGCCCACAAGGCCATTCTAACCTCTTTCTGTGTTCTGTGGAAGCGATGGCCAGTTCGTCATGCTCGTGAACGGGTGCTGTCAGCGGAGATGAGTGAGCTCTATACCTATTACTTTACTTTCGAAATGAACGAACTTATCTAATTATACCTTGTAGGTTTTAACACTATTAGTACCTATTTATACTGTATAACACAGCAATCAAAATGTGAGTGGACGACGTTGAATTTTAATGTTACTAAATTCTAATTAGTTGTATTGCTACGGATGTCACTAAATTAAACAGAAGTAGCAAATTTTACATAAAATCATGTGAATTTTGCTAATTCTGTTTAAAGCTGATGAATTTCTTGAACCCATTCTGTTCATCAGCTAGTAGATGTCCTGAATAAAAATATTTCAAGACTCAAAAGAGGTTTCAATAATTCAATTTGTATAAAGTATAATTTAATTTCACTTAGGTACTAAGGTCAACCAGGGGGGTGCAATCCGTAAGTGAGCCGGGATGCCAGATTTGATTAGTCTGAAATGTTTCTACTGCGCGGGCACAAGCTGTCCGCCTTTCCCTATAGATGGAATAGAAAGATAAGGCCATGATTACCCTTAGATTAGACATGCCGGCCCAGTGTGGACTGGTTGGTGGGTTCTAACGACACGACTGCAGATGCAGACGGAACCACCAGCTTCAGCTGCCTTCATATGCACGGACGAACATACTGATCTATATACGGAATCACAGGATTGTAGTTTGGTAATCCTGTGTAGGTATGAAAATCTTTTCAATCAAAATCGGCTTGTTTCGGCAAGGTACAATACAACAAAGCAATAAACCCAAATAGCTATCAACGTTGAAATGGCTTTTTCTCAAACATACCTACGTTGGACATTTGAGCATTATTTGGCAACCCTCTTCGAAATTGCTGTACTATCAAATACACATGCGAGCAGCGGCTGACAAAAATTCATATCTGTCATGGTTTAGCGGCCAAATAATAATGACAATGGTGCCAATTCTGGCGTGATTCTCTAAACTTAAAATTAAATTTAAAATCAGTCTCTCCTTTTCATTCTGTATAGAGATATACTGCTGTCAAATTTAAGTTTAGGTTTAGAGAATCATGCTAGAATTGACACCATTGTAAACCCATAATTATCTCTCGCGTAATTTAAAAACTATGGAGCGTACTTTTACTACGAAATATGACAAACAACCGAGCATTAGCCACAACTATTATATAATAGGCATAAATGGTGCTTGCCTCGCCTCAGCCTCAGCACACATTTACACGTTGGTCCGTCAACGCCTCTTGCTGGCCGCTGCAGCAGCTATGTACTTATCGCTAGAAACAATTTAATAGTTATATAACAGCTATATTCATTCTACCATTGAGATAATTTTGTTTTTGGAAGTCAATTGGGAGTACCACCTACTTACATGTCAAAATAATAAAATACTTACAAAAAGTATGTATGTAAATATGATATCTAAGGCAAAATGTCATATATCCAAAATGAAGGAAGAAAGAAATTACACCAAATGTAGTTCAAACATACCGTTTAATATTAAAATAAATAAAATATGCTTAACAGCACAAACCTTATTCTTAATTTAACTATCTGGCATGAACATTTGCTATATTTTATTGAAGAAAATAGTAAACCTTTAGATATTTGGAATTAACTTAAGAAAATATTCATATACCAAGTAAGGGTATAGTACGAAATATCAGTCAAATGAAGTCTTATTTTCTTTTACACCTCCCTACAGTTTTTAATAACTTTTTTATAAGTTACAATGTGCATTGTTAAAGAAATCTGTCAGAATTTTCACTAGCAGATAAGACATGCTTTAACTTAAGACACATAAAAATGTATCATCATCATCGACCCATGCTCGTCCACTGCTGGACATAGGTCTCCCCTAATGAACACCACTGCTCTCACTAAAAATGTATACATACTACATAATTCAATATTCTTACATGTTGCTGTTACAATTACAAAATCACATTTAATCATTATTGCTTTGTATTTATTAAAAGCAAAATAAAAATTAATTTAAAGACACATTAAAATACCTCTTAAAGTTATATCACTACTTTTGACAAGTTGGACAACAACTTTTCTAAGAATACTGTTTTAATGGGGCAGTATGCTCTGTGAAATAATTGGGAATGTTATAGGCTGAGCCTGTGAATTTGGCAATGCCATAGGTTGACTAGTGCTTGAGATTGTTATCTGTTGTGTAGATGTCTGGTGCACTAACTGTTGAGCTGATGGCACTAATTGTTGTTGAGCTGATTGCTGAACTGCAAGCTGTTGGGCTGATTGTTGTGCAACTATTTGTTGGGCCGACTGCTGTGCTGCTGCTGCTAATTGCTGTGCAGATTGTTGAGCTGCTGCCAAATGTTGTGCAGATTGCTGTGCTGCCAAATGCTGAGCAGACTGTTGAGCTGCTAGGTGTTGTGCTGATTGTTGAGCAGCTAAGTGTTGCGCTGACTGTTGTGCAGCTAAATGCTGAGCTGATTGTTGAGCTGCTAAATGTTGAGCAGACTGCTGAGCAACTGCTAATTGCTGCACTGCAGATTGTTGGGCAGCAAATTGTGGATTTTGGTGCTGTGGTACAACTTGTGACTGTAATGCTGATTGCTGAACTAATTGTTGAACTGTTGCTTGTGGTGCATTGCTCATCAGCTGCTGAGCTGGTGGTGCCAAGGTGAGTTGTGCAGGAGTAACTGCTACAACTGTTTGTCCTCCACCCATCAAAGTCCCCGAGTCACTAACTTGCATAAGTTGTTGCGCTCCAGCACTTGTCACTATGAGAGCTCCAGAATTACCCATGAGCTGCTGGGTGGTACTTACAGTTAAAATTTGAGGAGCTGGTGTTAACAATTGTGCTCTGGAAGCAGCAGGAGCTAGTGCTAGATTAGGTGTAGCTGCTGCTGGTACCAATGCTGGCAAAGCTCCAGCTAAGCTCACCACAGGTGTCATACTAACAGTTGCAAGTGAAACAGGAGCTGAAGTACAATGCCTTGATGTAATTACACAAGGTTGATCAGATCGAACAGATGCTGTCTGTTCCAATAAAAATTCATTCATAGAAGTCAGCTGGACATTTTTCTCTGTCAAATCTGCTACTTTCTTAAGCAATACACTTATATTATCATGTAATAATTTAACTTTATGATCTAAACTTTCACAATTTGGACATAAATTAGATGCAGACAACACTTGTTTCTCTAAGCTATTATCATCATATGTAAATCTTCTGAACTTGGCTTCTGGTGGTGAGTCCTCATCTCTGATTGGTGGAGGTGGTCTATTGAATTGAGTAGGAACTGTAACATGTACTGGAACAACATCTTTGCTAACTACATCTGGAGTATGAACAAACTTGCAGTCCTGATTAGCACAGGCACCATGTAAATAAGCTTGACAAACTGGTGCATTTCGAGAATCACGAGGAAAAACGCCAGTGTAATAAAAATTTTCTTCCTCTTCAACACTGCTGTGTATAAATTTACAATTGTTCCTAAAACAACCTTTATTTTGAAAATCGTGGCAGAATCTAAAAAGGTCCTTAAGGCAAGGGATGGGTGGAACTTCATGTATATAACGACAGTTTTCCCGGGTGCAAAAACCACGAATGAAGTCCCTGCAATAATTGTTAGCCGGTAGTGTCAATTTGTCTGTATCATTCATTGTACAATCGGAGTTGGTTAATCCTTTTCCAATCATCTTTTGAAAACTATACAATGCCTCTAAACTCAAAATTATACGCAAGCATATTTTAGAGTATTTTGATTGTAAAAACACTATTATTTATGTTTCAGTGTTCAAACTCCGACATTGACATCACATCCACACTATTTAAGATGACATTTGTTCAATTAACATAAACTAAAAATGAGTTTTATTTTTAAGTTTTTAGAAACCATGTTCCGCATTCATAGCTAAAATAAACAGCGAGAACAAGAATGAAGAAAGAAAGAAATTCAACGAAATATGCATTTGTTTTTTTTAACGTTCTCGCTTTAAAGGAAAGGCAAAGGGGACAATACCCATAAAACCTAGTCTTCAGTTTTCTTTGTTCTTTTTTTTATTACAATATGGGTGTGACGCATTCTAATGTTTCTTGGAGTATTTGGCACAAAATATATCGAGTCAGCTTCCTCGATAAATTTATGTGAGGTAGTCAACACTACAATAAAGTTCTCACGTCCACTTGACCGGAATAGCGTATATTTTAAATATTCCAATTATTTTTCAGTTGTGCTGACGGTTGTAAGACAAAATCACACCAATTTAAAACAATATCCACAATGTACGTATTAAAGAATAATTAAATTATGACTCCAACCGCACTCGATGAAATCCCTCAAAAAAACTCACGAATTATGCAGCACAGCCCGTGTTGCCACCTTGGCTTTTTTAAGGCGCTAGATCAAAGGTAAAATATCGCCAGATATCAGCAATTTGGATTTAAGAAAATACACCAAAATCCGCTCAATTACATTTGCATCTCAGACAACAAAAAACGAAAAAGAATGTCACACCGACATTCTAATGTAAACAAGAAGATTAAGATTTGTATTTATGTATACGACTGAAAAACTTGTATCCATGGTCATGAATTACTAAAAAAAAACTAGTACTAGTCGGCTACAAAGAGTAAGCCTGTCACAGACGTAGCTATAATATATATTAATATATCGAAATATATATTATATTATAGCTAACTAGCACAGACGGGAGCTATACTATAATATATATTTTGCCCTCACTCGGTCTGCGGTCGTTTTGGCAAGCGCACGGTTTTAAAGCTTATTTTCTAGCACAGGGTGTTTTAATTTTGAAATAACGTTATAATCCGAAATGAATTGGACAAGAGCACTACTTTTAGATTTAATTGAAAGTTCCTCAGAGGATGATTTCGATGCTGAATTTGATATGCATGTTGCCTTGTCAGGAACGAATTTTTCGTTCGAACGAATTCTATTCGACAGAAGTTGAACATTCCGTATTATACTAATATGCCAAAATATATCCCGTCACAGACGTAGCTATAGTGGTCAATGTAAGTGGGAATTATTTAAATATCGAGATATTATATTATACAAACTACCACAGACGGGAGCTGTACTATCTATACTTCTATACTAATATTAAAAAGCTGCAGAGTTTGTTTGTTTGTTTGAACGCGCTAATCTCTGGAACTACTGGTCCGATTTGAATGATTCTTTCAGTGTTGGGTATTCCATTTATCGAGGAAGGCTATAGGCTATATTTTTTTCTTTCAAAATTACGGATCCGTAATAAAATAGCTATTTTGTAACACAAGGTGTAAAATCGAAAACCTATTTTTGCGTGCGCCGCAAAAACTATTGACAATAGAACAAAATGATGTACTACGGGTTTGTAGATCCCATTAAGACCTACAAAAAAGTCTGCGAGAACATATATCTAGCTATCATGGTTTAATCACAATAACTGATTTTGTGTTCAAAATAATTATTACATCGTCTGAAGAAAAAAAACTACGTTAAATATGTATCGTAATATTAATATTTATCGAAATTAAGCATTATGTTATCAAGAGTATTTATATAGAAGTAAAATACTTTTTGTTTCATCTCATTCGGATATTTCGTTTAAAAGTTATCACGTGTGTAAGATGTTAAGAGTTGGTACCTATTAATGAGTTATGGGCCATACAGTTTTTTATTAACATAAAATCCTGTAATAATCTTTTTCGAAATATATTTGTTGATGATTGTAAGTATAAGATCTTTGAAGAGTATAATAAATACATTTCTAAAATAACTCTGCTAAGGAAATCCACGCGCGCTTGCTTGCATATTTTATCTCAGTATTTCCACGGAAACGAGAAAAACGCGGGTGAAACCGCGGGGCACGGCTATAATATATATTTTGGCAGGCGTTCGGTGAAAAATGAAACATACCGTATCATAAAAATATATCAAAATATATATTAATATATCAAAATATATATTAATATACCAAAATATACACTAATATGCCAAAATATATCTGTCGACATATTTTGGTGACGTCATAGAAATATATATTATAGCTGCGTGTGCGGTCACTCGAAAATTTATATTGAAAATATGTTGTAATATGTCTTGCTATGATTTATATTAATATATATTATAGCTACGTCTGTGACGGGCTTAAGTAAGTATACCAAAGGTCGGCTAAAGGACAAAGTATCCACGGCCATAATAAATTAAAAAAATAACTAGTGAAATGAAACAAATTGCGAATTGACTTGGTTAATTTAATTTACATTATTTAAATAAATATTACCTGAAAAACATTGTACTTATGGTATTTAACAAATGTGCATGAAAATGAGGTATGCTCATTTCAATTTATATTAAAGTAAAAAGCTACGTTAGTACTGTTTATTGTGTATATAACAAAGTTTGTTTTCAGCTAACAACGTTTATGTCAAGATGTTCAAGCAGCAGCTGTCGCCACGGAGTATCCATCCTTATCAAACAACGGTAGTACCTCGTAGCGAACAGCAATATTCGACGGCATCGCGTCAAAGGGCCAAATATCCATGGGCTGAAGATATTAACACGCCTGTGTATCAGGTGGCTGGCACAGACAGTTCCACTTCCGATAATGCTTACCAAGTATGTGATAGCAAAAAACAGTATTCAACTTAATCTTTGCATTCACTTGGCATCAGATAGCCTTATAATAAAAACATCAAGAAAATATATAAAACAAAGGACAAAATCAATTGTACTAATTAACCTATTATAAGTATAAACTAACCCATTTTGGATGATGTTGACCTAATTTAAGCCATTATATCAATTTAATTATTATTCCAAATCCACCTTGGCCGTGTGGATTCTTATGATTTCCTTTGGATTAAAGTTATAGTTTAGAAAATTTAAAACATCTCTTTTTGTCTGCTTTCAGGTTCCTCAGCTTTATAACGGAACATTAAGAGATTATGGACATTCTTCATTTGTATATCAGACCCCATATGGTACAGGCACTTGGCGTAGTTATAAAAATAGTGAGAAATTTCCACATCATGCCATTCCCGAAGCATACACGTTTCCTCAATGTGCTTCTTCATTTTCACTTCCAATAGGTGAGGAACTACGAACTGAAAGCCGGTCTCCTGTGCCTCCTATGCCCTCTGTTAGTCCAGAAGTACCTGTTATTGGAGCATGTGGAGGTCATTGCCCGGGATTTGAGTATGTTTGTTATTATATTTTACAGGTAAGATAATATTACTGTATAAAACTAGTTTGTTCTCATTACTTACCCAAGTATACATAAGTTATGCGCTAAAAATTTATTTTTTTAAATTTCAGGTGATATTTGTTGTAGGCATATTAACTGGGATCTCATTAAGCATTGCAGGAATTGTATTAAGACGTACAAATCGTAATGGTGATCTTGGAGTATTAGTTTACATAGGTGAGAAAGATCTGCCTTAACAAATCATGATCTCATCTCTGCATATCTGGCTACTGTTTTCCCCAAGACAATAGCCAGTTAGAGAAGTTGTCTGAGTCTTTGCCACACTCGGAGGCATCAAATAAATTAAATGTCATTGAGTTGTAATTCTTTTACTCTATTATAGCATAGTTTCTGAGTACTACTGCTAGAGACACCCTTTACTAGTAAAACTCAATGTTTTAGCCACACAGAATAAATAATGTAGCATTAAACTTTTAACATTAAGTAATTGATCTTTTTACCATTTATTGTAGGTTGTCTATCATCTTGTGTGTGTGGTGTATTGCTTGGAGTCCAGTGCTGTGTTCATCGAGAGATACGACAGCGTAAATTGAGGGCTAACATGCACATACCAATGCAACCCATACAGGTATGGTTTTGTTCCATAAATAGTTCTCTTTGTTATTTCATCTGAAAATACTGCCTATGTTATTATACTAGACATTTTTTCCAAGGGAAAACATATATAATTATATATATAGTACAGAAAGCACTGTGCTTCAAGATGAAAGTTTTTTTTTTCAACCAAATTATGTGTAATCTACATATAATTTTGAACCTTTGATTGACCTAATAATATATTTTAGTTTTTTATGTCTGAAAAAGTACATAATTTATTATTGAATTAATTCTGTGGCATCAGCATTACTGACATTTAAGTAGAATATTTTTTCTTCCAGGAAACACCAGCCACAGCTTGTCCATTGTTAAGTACTTCACTACCTCATACTCAAATATACAGGTATGTAGAAGATTCTCTAAATAATATATAAATTACATTTATTGATGTGTAACTGGAATTAGGATATTTTTTCATTTCATTCTGGATAGGAATTTGTGGGAGTGATTTTGTGAAATGTATTTGATTGGAGAACATAATGTTTAAATGGCTTATTCCTTTTGTTGTTGGTTTAATTTCTTTTTTACTAATATAGGGTGAGGTTTCAAATGTAACACATCATACGCGACTACTGTAAGGCTAGCTCGTTTTTTTTCACTCAAAAACATTTTTGTCAGTTTAACCATAAAACCTGAAATTCAGAGAAGATCCTCCCTTGCCTTTTCAATTAATGAGATATAAAGTTAATAATATCAACTCCTAAAAATTATTTTAAAGACATTGCATAAATTGCTATATAACACCCCAGCATTGTCACCTAATATCTAGGAACGCAAAGTAGTTACCTATTTACTGGTTAAAAAAATAATTACTTAGTAATATAACCCCTATGTTTTACTACCAAATATCGTCAGGTACAAAATAAATTCAGTAATCACCAAGCCCTTAGGCACGGTCCTTAGGTACATATTAAGTCTAAATATATTTGAGTACCTACCGACATAGTTACATGCTTATAAAATGGACTACCTACGATTGGATGTGGAGACACTGCTGAGCTGACTAGATACAATTTTGAAAGTACCAATTACAATCCTATCTGATAATTACCACACTGATGATATCCTGACGTTATCCAACCCGTGATCTGAGGTATAAGATGGGTGTAAGGATTATTAGATTGTGGTGTGAACATTGTCGTCTTTTTATGACATTTGCATTCTTCTAAGCTGATAGACATAAAATACCAACCCTACATACCCAACAAGAACAAATGGGAAGTTGTACAAAACAAAATCATGTTAGGTGTTCCACTGTCATATCAAACCCATCGTCACCAGGGTCATGAAGATCGGACTACAAAAATTGAGATAACGGAGTATGTGGTACATATTACAAAATTCATCACTCATTATCAAGTAAAATTATTACAATGTATTAGTAAACTATAATTAATCTGAATTTCATGCATATTATAATTGATATAAATGCAAAATTCAGTCTTTAATTTTTCACTATTGCCTAATTATTATCCTACTGTCTTATACATATACTAGCTGACCCAGCGAACTTCGTACCGCCATAAAAAAAATTAATTAAAACAACATTGTCCAGCGGACAAAATTGTGAATCTAAACCATTCTCAGATCCCCTTGAACACACACAAAAAATTTCATCAAAATCGGTCCAGTCTTTTAAGAGAAGTTCAGTGACATACACACTCACAGAAAAATTATATATATAAAGATAGGACGGCTATTTTCCTAGAAGTCGCGTTATCAATATTTTTATCTTACATGTATTATCAATACATGTTCAACTAACAAAAAAAGTTAAATGCAAAGATCTTCTGAAAAAAAGTTTCAGGCTTATCTGGGTAAATGGGGTGAAAAGGGGGACGGAAGTTTGCATGGGAAACCAATTATTTCACGCAGACATAATCGCGGGCACTCGCTATTATATTATATTACACTTTTGATTGTGAGTATTATTTATTCTATCATTTTAATGTAGTTTTTTCTTTGCAGACCGACTGTTAACATATGTGCTGAAGATGAGACCGGTGTTCCTTGGTGGCGTCGCTCAAACAGAGACTGACTAGTTTTAAGTATTATAAAGTAACTAGATAAATGTACAGATTTTTTTATTAAGTGAAAATTATACCATGATCTTGTATTTTTTAATAAAATCATTATTCTGAATGCCAAATACTTATTTGATTCAATCACAGCTACTTTTGACCCAGGATCCATCTTCAAATGTGTATATCTGTAATAAGTAATGCATTAATGCGTATACAGTAGAAATCTTGCTGCAAAATGCACCATCATCCCATCACTGTGCTACTTAGAGGATATTACATATTATACGAATTGTGCATAGTACATGTAATGAATTCTATGCCAATTGTATGACATACATACGAACCAAGCAAAAAAGGGTCCCGCGTCTTCCGCGTAATACTCGCGCATTCTATCCCTAGCTATTGGCTCGTAGTTAGTTTGTATGTTATTTTTTTTTATTTATTAATTTACTGTCAGGCAACGTAAGCCCATAGATACATACCTTAAAGTCTAACATTTATACAGAAATATAAAACATAGTTAAAAACTTATTGAACACGTATTGACGGCGACGTGTGGCGCAGAATGGTGTCCGGTATCCGGCCTCGGAACCGCCGGAACACAACACCTTTCGGCCAAAGCTCTTCTTTCATAAAGTTCGGTTGGTACTCTCACCACGAATGAATTAAAATTAATATTATGGCGAGATTCCAACCGTGCGACTCTCAGGGAGAACTTCGTCTTGATCCGCAGATACTCCTCGATCTCCTCTTCCTTCGTAGAGTAATGCAGCCGGGACACGTACAGCGGCGTCGTTGGTATGGCGGGACGCAACAGATGGTTCGGACCGGTCGGGGCAGCACCACACAGGTTCCGGCGAGCGGGCTTCCTCTTCTTCCTTTCCACCTTGATGAAGCCTTCTTCGTCACAATTTAGATTTTGTGATGTCGCCGGAGTAGCACGTTGGTGTTTGCTACTCTTCTCTGTTTGTTGTAATATTCGCTCTGGTTTCGGAGCGGCATCGGCAGGTCGAATTGCGGCTGCAGCTGCGTAGGCACGTTGCGGTGTCGAAGTGCAAGCGCGTGACGTCTCCGATATGGCGGAGGGGCGGGCAGCGGCGACGGGGCGCGGGGCATTGCGCGCGATGACGGCGGCCGGTGACGCACTCGCAGGCGCCGACTCAATACTGCCGACAGATGCATTTTGCGCCCCACGACGTGTATTTACATTGGAAAACTCGGGTGACCTACTTACACAAGCAGTGTTGCTTAAAAACTACTTGGGCCTGCAACTCACCGATGGTGTTATTCGTCCTCCAATTTGCTCACAACTTCGGCCAAGCTTGCTTTCAGGTAGTTGATATCATTCAGCAGCCTGGGGCCTGATCGCCTAACTCGCGTTGCTTTAAAAATGCTAAAGTTTATGACGTCACACTGTCATTTGGAAACGCCTATGAAAGCCATAACGCTTTCACATTTACTTTGCGGCCGATGACAGCCATTAACAATTTTGAATGACATCGTTCAATTTCTCGCTACTATTTTGACAGGAAATCGAAACGCCTAAAAAAAGTGAAAGCGAGCGATTTCAAGATGGCGGGTAAGCGTTAAAGCTGTCAGATAAGCAGACACCTATAGACTCACTGTTTTCATCTCATGCTTTCATACGATATTTATAATTCAATTTATTTTGCTTTATAAAATTAAAATATAGCTACTTTTGTCTTTTGTTAACCTAAGATTGTGTACTCTTGTAGTTTTTTTTCTGTTTTAGTGAGAAATGGCTCGAATATTTCTGTTGGTGGTAGCTGAGGAGGAGAGCCAGAAGACAATGCTGACCTTGCGAAGAAGACAGTTGCGGGAGGACAGCATGCCTATGTTGCTGCCGGAGCGAACGTTTGTCCAAACGTTCCGCCTGAGTAAGGATAATTTCCTTACTCTTTGCGACGACTTGATGCCGTTTTTGCATCCGACGCACAGAACGACCTAAAGACTATGAAGAAGCATATTTTAACAGGAAAATGTACCTCTCCCTGTGCTTAATGTGCTTGCGGTAAGTAATAATTACATTAAAACCGCTCCTAAATCTCTTCCAAATGCTTACATGATTACAGAATCACATATTATTTCTATATTTTTGAATATATTTGGTCTATTGAATTATAATAAAACCTTTTAACAATCAAATACTCTACATTTATTTATAAAACAGTAAATATATGAAGCAACTTATTTTTTAATCAATTGTCTCTTAACAAATTTTGTGTTAAATGAATTATATTATATTAGGAATCACTTCATACCAACAAAATTTAGTTTAATAAAATAACACTTTACACAAAGGTAGGTACTATACCAAAAGCATTTATACCATAACTTTTCAAAAATAATTTCTTGGAATGTGATACTCATATGAAATAAAATAGTTGTTTAAACCTTAATATTATACTCTTGTTACAGATGTGTGATGCAGACTTACATATTTTGCATATGGATGCATCATTTGGTGGTGCAAGTCATGACTCTCATGTTTGGAATTGTTGCCCTGTGAAAAATGGAATTGAAAGACTCCATGATATTGGACAGATCTACTGGTTCTTGGGTATGTGTATTAAAAATCATTTGTTATCATTTTATTTGAATATTTTCATACAAAATAAGTGTTTTTGTATGTTAGTATTTTTCAGTGTTAGTTTTACAATATTTATTTTACAGATGACTCTGGCTATGCCCGAAGGGCATGGATGATGACGCCAATCCTCCATGCTGACCCAGGGAGACCAGAGGATCACTACACAAATTCACATGTGCGGACTAGGAATATCATAGAAAGATGCTTTGGCATCTTCAAGACCCAAATCAGAAAGCAGGGAAAATCTTAAATGCATGTGTTGTTTTACACAACCTTATTTGCGACTCATGTATCAAGATTGATGAGGATGTCATGCGTGTGATCATGTCCGCCAACCACAGCGTGACATACTTGCCACAAGTGGAGACAGGCCTGTCCGTGGCATCTGTCCTGCAAGACGGTCAGTTACTCTGGAGTAGTCATAACCATAATTGACCATTTAAAACTGTTTACAGAAACTTGTGTGAAGAAGGATCTGTGAGCAGAGGCACCATACAAGATAAAATAGGTATTATAAGTTTAGTTTACAATTTATTGTATTTTATTTTTATTATACTAATTAATTATTAATTAGCACCTAAGTTTAATGTCTAAATTTAACATGTCATTTTTATATCTTCCTGTATGTATTGGTAGCTACATCATTTGATGTAAATGTTAAATGCTGATGAGTTTCTTGCGCCCATTCTTCTCACCAGCTAGAAGATGTCCTGTGTGGTAGTAGGAAAAAAATGTAGGATGATTAAAGAGCTCTCAATAACTTAATTTGAATAAAATATGATTTCATTTCAAATTTGTTTTATTTAAATACAACTTTTGAATATGTACTAACTTTAAATGAGAAACTAGTTATTATTAATACTCTAGTTTAATTTGATTTATATAACTGTAATTTTATAAGTTGTTGTTAAATATTCATAACAATAAAATTTATTTCTTATGTTAGTGTTCAAATATTCTAAATTTACTTTCTATTAGCAAGTTACTAATTGGGTACAAATTGAATTTATTCATTTGAGAAATAAAAGGGAAACCCCTTGGACAAAGCTGGCTTGGAGAGCAAAAACTGGAAAAAGTTTAAGGAGGCCTTTGTCAAAAGGCGCACAGAGTTAAAAGAGTATTAAAATGAACACAATAATTTATTTTTATATAAACAATGTTAACTCTGAATATAGACTCTAAATAAATAAATGATTTCATTTCAAAACTGTTTCAAACTTTTTAGTAGGTACTAATCAACTTTAAAGAAATAATTTCATTTCCTGACTACCCTATTGTTGAGAAGCATGGTAGACCTTGTAACTGTGGTCACACCGCTATTCAGAAACCAGCCAGTATGTCTCCAAAGACCTACTAATTTAATAACACCTATTAGCTATTAACTCTTAATAGATTTTTATTCTACTTTTTTACTCAATGAACAACAGCTGTGAGACCATGACCTAGAAAAAGGTTGCAAGGTGATAAAGTTGAGGAGGGAGCTTACGATAATAATATTCAGTAAATAAAACATTCAGTAGTATTGCTGTTATATTTTAGTAAAAAGATTACCATAAACAACTTCAGATACAAATGCACATTATTTATTTCCATGAGTTACAGTCTTATAGAACCAACATAATACATGAGTAATATCTCTCAATGCTCGGAGCACGTCCCTCCGCAATTGCTGTTCCTCCAGTCGCCGCTCCTCAAATTTTCCCCATGCAGTTGACTGTCGCAAAGCTGGCAGTTTTCCAGCTCAAAAATCCAATACAGCTGAAACAAATTACCAGCGTTTTTTAAAAAGGGATTGTTTGTATTTTCCAGTTTTTGAAACTTATTAAGTGGTATGTTATTATTCTTTACAAATGAGTCTATGAGTCCTACCATGTTACATGAAATTAATCAATGGTAAAGATATAGACCTCCAAAGGTTTTTATAGGTAACACTTTACTCTTGGTACTTTCCATAGGATGGATGCTTAATTAAAACAGATAAGGCAACATAATTGAACTTACAATGTTATTAAGTAGGTGAATAAAATAACATTGATTGATCATAAGCCAGGCTCAGCCAAATAGAAAAAAAAATAGTTAAGCTTTTAACAGCACCTTATGTATGGGGAGTTACCATTTTCAAATTAGTAATTGAATTCCATGCAATAGTACAAATACAGAACACATAACAAGATGCCTTATAAACTATACAAAATAATAGTAAAGTACCACTTACTCTAAATCACCACTCCTTTGGTGTTTTAGTAACATCATTAATTGCGTTTAGGAGGGACGCTAAACTCTTCCATAGGCCCATCGAAGCCTGTTTGGCCTGTGCGGGGCTGCAATTTGCATCCCTCTAGCCTGGAATGGGTGCTCCTCCATCCATATTAGTAAGGCCTCCAACTGTACGTTGGAGTTGTAGACTTAATATGGTGCCGGTTT